TATTATTATTATTATTATGGTTAGTCACAATCAGCCAGATGTTTAGACCGGATTTGACATTTTGTATGCCAAATAAATCCTTCCCAAAGACCTGGGATAAGGGGATGTGGTTGTTTGATGATGATAAAGCTATTGTTGCAGGATGTAAATTGTTCCAAACAAAGAGGCCTTTTTGCAATTGGCCGATTGTAATTTTCTCAGTACTGCTGGTGCACAAGTGGTGTTCCAGAGGTTTTGGGATTGCACTCAAGACATTTATTACTAAGGTAAATGTAAAGGTTCCCCTCACACATATGTGCTAGTCCTTTCCAACTCTAGGGGGTGGTGCTCATCTCTGTTTCAAAGCCAAACAGCCAGCGCTGTCCGAAGAAGTCTCTGTGGTCATGTGCCTGGCATGACTAAATGCCAATGGCGCACGGAATGCTGTTACCTTCCCACCAAAGGTGGTCCCTAATTTTCTACTTGCATTTTTTACGTGCTCTTGAACTGCTAGGTTGGCAGAAGTTGGGACAAGTAACGGGAGCTCACTCCACTACATGGCATTAGAGTCACCAAACTGCCAACCTTTCTGATTGACAAGGTCCATGTCTTACCCACCGAGCCACCGTGTCCCTTTCTTATTTATTACTACTTCCTATTTATTACTCTTCCTATTTATTACTTCCTATTTATTACTACTATTATTACAAATAAAGAAGAACATATTGTGAGCCAGTATGTAGAAGCCACTTGTATATTTTTCCCTAGGTGACATTTTTTTCACATCACCTTGAACTCTGACTGTTCCTTTGGAATAACAGAATGATAGCATTTTGCACTTTCAAACAAAATCATTCATATACATTACCTCAGGAATCCTTACAACAGCTAAATAAGAGAGATCAATTCTTTTCTCACCCCATAGTGCTTAAAAGGACCGAGAGTAAAAGAAGGATGGCTTCTCTATCGTCACTTGCTGAGTTTTTAGCAAGAATGGGAGAGTCTTTCTCATGTTCAGACTTGGTGATGCTGGAAATTGCTTTCAGAAAAGCTTTCCATATTCCTGCTCAGTTCAAAGATTGCCACCAAAGAGCTTTTCATCCATATTCTTTTCAGGTGGTGGCGGGGGGGAGTCAGACACAAAATCCGAAGTAGGGAGGTATCAAACGGAGAGTTAGGAAACACACACAAGGGTTCCAGAGCAGTTATCATTTGAAAGTCAACCTGAAGGATGACACAGGTTTTTTTGCAATGTTTTGATACATGCGACGTTGTGTCAAAGTCAGCTTACCTTCCAATGGCTTCGGTAGAAAATGAGCTGCTGGTTTTGTTTTCTTCACTCTATTGCCTTTCATGACTTGCCCTTCTTTGTTGAGTCCCAAGAACCAGGCCCTACCCGATTCCTGCTGTCTGTACAGCATCGACGAGTAGATTACATAATAGTTTTCAAAAACAGACTCCTTAAACTTACATTCCGGCGTAAAAAGTTCCTGTGAGAGAAAGAGAAAAAGTTAGAGGAACATTCCAACCAGTGGCTATAGTTATTATTTGTATTACTTGCTATTGCCCTGTTTCCCCAAAAATAATCTACCTATCCAAAAAATAAGCCCTAGCATGGTTTTATGCTTGCACCTAATATAAGCCCTACCCCTCAAATAAGCCCTACTTAAGAGTCTGCACAGCCTGCTGCCAGCATATTACGTCTGGTTGCTCGTGATGTTGTGGCCATGAGGTAAGGCGAGGGTGGCAGAACTACCCCATACACCCTGCATCAGCTTACCTCAGGGTGTTTGCAGCCAGGCCATCTGCGCCCCGACACCTGCTTTGCGATGGCAGCACTAGCAGCCATGTGCAGCAAGGAGCACATGTGGCCGCCGGCCCAGTTCTTCTGTTTGCTCATGGCTGCAATGGAGCAGGAAGCTGAGTGGAATGTTGGTGCCATGGCTGCAAGATGAGGCAGGTATCAGGGTGTAGATGGCCCGGATGCCACTCAGCTTCCTGCCCTGCTGCAAGAAAGCAGAAGAAGTGGGCCTCTCACACATGGGAAAAAAAGTAAGATACTGCCTGAAAATATGCCCTAGTG